TGTTGATTCCGTTTTTTAGCAACCCTCTCTTGTAGGTTTTTCAATATGCTGTTACATCTGTAATTCTTTTTGTTAGCATCTACAATTCCAAATTGTAACCATTCTTTAAATTACTAGATTTTCTTATAGTCTTTCCTAACTCCCCACATAAAGATACTCTTCCTTTATATTCTCATAGAATATAAAGCTAGAAAATGGCCTTTCAGTGTTATCTATCTATATATGTATTATCTTTCCTACTAGAGTATAAATTTCATTTCTTTAGTGTATCCTTTGTTACCTTCTGCAGAATGCCTTGTTTAAGGGAGACGTAGTTAACTTACTGAATGAATGATAAAGAATGAATGAACTTTTCCTTTAAGAAATGCCTGTCACTGGTGGTTGGAGTTTAGGGAAAAGATTTGTTGGCAGTGGTATGGATATGGAAGTATAATTTTTAAGCAGATAATTTAATTTATAGGAATTAAATGTATATATTGCTGAAAGAAAAACATTGTATAAACTAATTTCTGAATGCACAAATATTTCTTTAATGCTATCAAAATATATTTTCACATACTATTGAAACAGTCTATTAATAGTGGAAATAAAATGGAAACTTTTTTTCTTTCAGTGCTTAGATGAGTATGAAGATGATGAAGCAGGGCAGAAAGAGCGGAAACGAGAAGATGCAATTACACAACAGAACACTATGCAGAATGAAGCTGTAAACTTACTAGACCCAGGCAGTTCCTATCTGCTGCAGGTGAGTATTTAAAAATACCAGGAAGTCACTATCTATTTTAATGGCAATTTTTCAATTATGGTTCTTGAGTTGTATGTAGTAATATATCTCCCATTACCATCTTTCCTCCTGCTTATGCCTTCCTTACCAAAGTGGGTTCTGACATCACATGTGGGGCTCCCCTTAAGCACGTCTTCACTCTCTTCACCCTTTTCTGGCTTGGGCATCTTTTGACAGGCTGTTCTGCCATAGGGCCTCTCTTTGTTCCTGCTGAGATTCGGATAACTCATGTAGGATTGCTCCTCCATGGGGACCCTTCGTCAACATGATTAGGTTTTGAGACCTCCAGGCCAGACTGCCACTCCATGTGGACATTCACTTCATCCTGCCTGGGCTCTGGCACAGAATACCCCATGCCAGGTTGCCTTTGAAGGGTAGACAGTCTTTACCCTTCTAAAGTTCTGTCACTCTTTTCTGAGCCACCCTCCTGAAAAGAATCCCACTTGGGACTCTGGCTGCCCCTTTATGAGACTCCCTTTCTGACCTTGCCTCAGGAATGAAGTGTTTCCTTCCCTGCTTTGAACAAATCTTCCTTATTCTGCTCAGGCTCTGATTTCTTAGGTCAGACTGAATGAGCTCTGCTATGTGGGCAGTCTCCTTAGTTTGCTTGGACTTGAATTCTTTATGCCAAGCAGTTCTTCTTTATGACAGGTTCTCATATTCTGATACCCTGGTCTGAGCCATTGTGTTTCCTCTCCATGTTACTCTGCCATACCTAATGGCTTTAGCACTTAATTGTTCAGGAAAGGAAGAGGAAGGATGAGTTTTTCCTTTTAAAATCTTGTTAATTTGATAAAGCTCTAGTTTATTTTTCGTTTTCTTTATCAGTTATACATTACAGAAATTTTATTCTTCAGTCATATTCTGCATATATATTCTTCAACAGTATATCATACTAAATTATACATGCCAATATAGATATTTTAAGTTAGTCCCGAGGGCCAGTTAGCATGTTATGCCATAATTTTACTGAGGGCTGTGACTTTGTTGCTAGGTTATTTGAATAACATCAGTATTATTTTGCTGTATTCATCTGGGCTTGTATTTGTCTGATCTTATTTCACTTACGCTATTATACTTGTTTATACATTACAAGTTCTGATCTGCCACTGCACCTGTAAAGACTGTGTTCATAGGGATTTCCTTATTGATCATTATAAGCCTGAGTAAAGCAGAATGTTTTATTTAAACTTACACAAAACAGTTTGTGCTTTGCCAACATTTTTTCAGCTCTACATAGATCTTTCCACTTCCCTTTAGTAATAGAAACCATCCCATTGCAAGGAAGATTATTTCAGAAAAAGTATATTTGAAATCAGTTGTATAACAGACTTAGGGGTTTTGGGAAGATCTAATTACATAGTCTTTGAAAGTTTTAAGACCAGTACCAGTCTTAACAGTTGTACTTTTTACAAGAAGTTTCAATGATACTTGTATAGCAGTCCCCCCCTTATCAAAGGGAGTTATGTTCCGAACCTTCCAATGGATGCCTGAAATCATAGATAGTACTGAACACTATATATACCATGCACAGATTTCTTTTTCCTTCTTTACAATTTAATAGAAGATTTGTTCTTATCATAAATCTTAGCAACCTCAGGATATGATTTTTCTTTCTTTTATTATTAAGTTGAGAACTTTCACCTTCTCACTTAAAGGAAGCACTTTACAGCTTCTCTTTGGCAGATCTGAATTGCCAGCATCACTACTCTTGTACTTTGGGGTAATTATTAAGAAAACTAAAAAGTTATTTGAACATGAAAACTGGGATACCACAACAGTCAATCCGATAACCAAGGTAGCTTCCAAGTCACTAACAGGTAGGAGCATAGACACTGTGGATATGTTTCACAAAGGAATAATTCAGGCCCTGGGCAGGATGGAACAGGACAGCACCAGGTTTCATCATGCTAGTGAGGACAGCTCACAATTTAAAGTTTGTGAGTTGTTTATTTCTCGAGTTTTCCATTTAATGTTTTTGGACCAGGCTTGATCATGGGTAACTGAAACTAGAAAGTGAAAGCTTGGATAAGAGAAAAAGGACTACTGTATTTCTCCATTTTTCCCCCTATTTAATATGGAGTAGTAATTATTAAAGTGCCTAATAATTATATAGTTGTTCCTTTGCCTGGAAATTTTTGTGGCTACAGAAATATAGTTAAAACATCTAAGGTGATGTTTATATTTATGTAGAATTTTGTTCTAACATGTAAGAATGTGAAGCATTTTCCTCCTTAAAATTACTAGGGACTTATTTCAGTGAACATAATGTCCTTTACCCTCATCCATTTCGTTGCAATGATCTCACTTATATGTGAAATCCAAAAAAGTCAAACTCATAGAAGTAGAGAGTAGAATGGTGATTACCAGAGGCTAGGCTAGATGGAGAGAGGAGAAGCGCTGATTAATGGGTGCAAAGTTACAGTTAGATAGGAGGAATAATTTCTGTTTTATTGCCCAGCAAGGTGATTATAGTTCATAATAATGTATATTTCAAAATATATGAGTATTTTAAATGTTCTCACCAGAAACAAATGATAAGAGCTTGGTGTGGTGGCTCACGCCTGTAATCCCAGCACTTTGGGAGGCCAAAGTGGGTGAATGACTTGATGCCAGAGGTTCAAGACCAGCCTGGCCAATATGCGAAACCGTGTCTCTACTAAAAATACAGCAATTAGCTGAGTATGGTGGTGCTCACCTATAATCCCAGCTACTCAAGAGGCTGAGGCACGAGAATTAGTTGAACCTTGGAGGCAGAGTTTGCAGTGAGCTGAGTTCATACCACTGCACTCCAACCTGGGTGACAGGTTGTGTCTGAAGAAAAAAGAAAAGAAAACTGTGTCTCAAAAAAAAGAAAAGAAAAAAAAGAAGTGATAAGTATTTAAGGTAATTCTGTGTAGGCTATTTTTTGCATTGCTATAAAGAGATACCTGAGATTGGGTAATTTATAAGAAAAAGAGGTTTAATTGCCTCACAGTTCTACAGGCTGTACAAGCATGGCACCAATATCTCAGCTTTTCATGAGGCCCTCAGAGAGCTGCTCATGGTGGAAGGGAAAGTGGAAGCAGGCATATCACATGACAGGAGCAGGAGCAAGAGAGAGAGGGAGCAGGTCCCAGACTCTTAGCCAGAACTCATTGGTGCTAAACCATTCATGAGAAATCCACTGCCATGCCAGTCATCTCCCAACAGGCCCCACCTCCAACATTGGAGATGACATTTCAACAGGAGACATGAGATTTGGAGGAGACATCCAAAATATATTAGATGGACATGCTAGTTACTGCTAGTTACTGTAATTTGATCCTTCCATAATATATACATGTATTGAAATCAAAATAACACTTCATATACCATACATATATAATTATTATTTGTCAATTAAAAATAAAACTAAAAAAAAATTATAAGGGGCTTTTTTACTCTACCATGTAGGTTAATTTTGTTTTTTCTATCTAACATTTCTAATTTAAGATATGCCCAGTTTTCTCTTTCTGGCCAGGATATAGAAATTACTTTAAACTCCACCTCTAATTGCCCATTTTAAATACACATGAGAAGGCTACTGCCCCTCCCAGTCTCTAATCTTACTAATATAATCTATCCAGTGTGCAGAACATTTTACTGTTAAAGGTTTTTTTTGTTTTTTTTTGTTTTTTTTTGTTTTTTGAGATGGAGTCTTGCTCTGTCACCCAGGCTAGAGTACAGTGGCACTATCTTATCTCATTGCAGTCTCTGCCTCCTTGGTTCAGGTGATTCTCCTGCCTCAGCATCCTCAGTAGCTGGGATTACAGGCACCCACCTCTATGCCTGGTTCATTGTTGTCTTTTTAGTAGAGACAGGGTTTTACCACATTGGCCAGGCTGGTCTCAAACTCTTGATCTTAGGTGATTTGCCCGCATTAGCCCCCGAAAGTGTTGGGATTACAGGCGTGAGCCACTGTGCCTGGCCTAAAGTTCATACTTTGATTACAAGAATCACTTTAAATTAACATTTAGCTACAAGATGTATAATCTTTAATAAAAGACCATATTCAAATCCACCAATAAAGAATAAACTTAAGTGTTGTCTGTCTGAATCAAAATCTTAACTATTGAAATATTAACTATATACAACAAATAAGTATAGCTTAAATTCTGATTATTTATACATCTCAGACGTGAGCATGGAATGACTATAATGGCAAAAACCGCAATTACTTTCACACCATCCTAGTATGTGGGAATTCTAATTTTATCAACTGCATCAAGCTAGCAGTGTGGAAAATACTGTGTAAAACTTACTGAGGTATGTTTTAAGTGACTAAATGTTTAAAACAAAACAAAACAACTGTAGAGAAATGTAGAAATCTGATATTTTTACATGACTTCTGGTTAGCATACTTAACTCAAAACTTGTCTGATACCGACTTTTAAGTCACTTATGATTGGGTCAAAGTGTGAAATTATTATAATGCCACTGCAATTTAGAGTTGCTGAAAATGCCCTCCATTTTACATTTGTTTTTGTTAAAATTCTCCTCTACATCTCTATTACTCTAAGTTTTACCATATTACAGAAAATGTCTGTTTTAAGCCTCAGAATAGTGTTTGTTGCCAAGTTATTCATACCATTTCAGTTGATATGCCAGTAACTCACAAAGTAGCAAATCTAGTAAGGGTTGCTCTCATTTAGCAAATCTGCTGACTTCATTTCAGTAAAAGGCAATCTGGGCAATCAAGCTGATGTGGCATATTCTGAGATGTTTCAAATATAACCAAAATGAGAGAGATATGAGAGAAATGATATGTGATGTTTTAGAACTTTGTTTTAGAGATTCTGGCATTTTTTTTCTCATGCATGTGTAGACAGAAATTATATGCCTTAGTTTTAGTTCATATAGAGTTGTATTAGGGAATTTAATAAAAGAAGCTGTTTGCAAAATGTTAATCCAAATACTGTTTGTGAAACTAGCAGGGGAAAAAACCTTTTTTTTGAGAAAACATCTCGCTCCGTTGCACAGGCTGGAGTATAGTAATGTGATCTCAGCTGACTGCAACCTTTGCCTCCTGAGTTCAAGCAGTCCACCCACCTCAGCCTCCTGAGTAGCTGGGACTTCAGGTGCATGCCACCACAACCCAGCTAATTTTTGTATTTTATGTAGAGACAGAGTTTTATCTAGGCTGATTTTGACCTCATGGGCTCAAGTGATCCACCCCCATCAGCCTTCCAAAGTGCTAGAATTACAGGCATGAGCCACTGTGTCCAGCTGGGAAAACTTCTGTATAAATTGTTATCACTCACATTGATAACGTATACTTTGTGTGAGTACACATGAGCTTAATTTTTCTTTCTACTTTAAATAACCATCTAAATGTCTATATAGGGGATTTGTTTTACATGTTTGGTGCAAAAGCACAGATTAACAGATACCTGCTTAATGACAGGCAGAAAAGAAACTCTTTAAAGTTTGCTTGCCAGGTTTTGTTGTTGTCCCTGCTGTAAGAATACCTGATGCTCAGAAAGGGTTAAAATGTCTTTGTATCAACTGTCAAGGCTTGGCTTCCCCAGAACTAAGCCTGTTTATGGGGTCAAGCCCGCATACACAGTCACTCAAGTATTCTTTGACCTGGTTATTTCCTGCAACTGGTTACTTCCCAAGTGGTACTTTTTTGTAACTGCATAAGAAGTTATTTCCCTAAGTTGTCAATCTATATTTATTGCATACTAGGTGAGCTGGTGTTTGGGAGGAGAAAGAAAGGAATTGGTAGTGGAGGGTCCGTATCTGTCAGATACTTGATGTTTTACTTAGAAAATAAGACATATACATGTAAAATTGAGATTAAAATTATAGGCCGGGCATGGTGGCTCATACCTATAATCCCAGCACTTTGGGAGGCTGAGGCGAGCGGATCACCAGGTCAGGAGTTCAACACCAGCCTGGCAAACATAGTGAAACCCTGTCTCTACTAAAAATGCAAAAATTAACTGGGCACGGTGGTGTGTGCCTGTAGTCCCAGCTACTCAGGAGGCTGAGGCAAGGAGAATCGCTTGAACCCAGGAGGCAGAGGCTGTGGTGAGGTGAGGTCGCACCACTGTAATCCCACCTGGGCAACAGAGTGAGACTCTCTTCCAAAAAAAAAAAAATTAAGGGCCAGGCATGGTGGCCCATGCCTGTAACCCCAGCACTTTTGGAGGCTGAGGCGGGCAGATCACGAGGTCAGGAGTTTGAGACCAGTCTGGCCAACATAGTGTGAAACCCTATCTGTATGAAAAATAAAAAAAATTAGCTGGGCATGGTGGCACATACGTGTAGTCCCAGCTACTTGGGAGGCTGAGGCAGGAGAATCGCTTGAACCTGGGAGGTGGAGATTGTGGTGAGCTAAGACGGTGCCACTACACTCCCAGCCTGGACAACAGAGCAAGACTCTGCCTCAGAAAAAAAATTATGTTAAACTAGGTGATACAGGCTTCTGTAATGGGAATTTACTGACTTGGAAAAATTAAGACAGACTTATTCAAATTGCATGCAGAAAATTCAATAAAGATTTTTCCATATCCTAGTTTTCTGTTTGTTTTAGCTATCAAATTGAAATTGAAAGTCTGTTTGGAAGGGATTATGCTAATTTTACTCACTTATGTCATGTAATCTCCACATCAACCCAGTAAAATAGGTACTGTTATTCCATTTTAGAGATAAGGAGACATTGATAGAGGTTAAACCCATAGGCTTCTAGCTACTGAGTAGCCCATCTGGTTGGAACTTTGATCTACTGGTTCCCCACATTGCTAGTCTTTTATTGCATCCTGCAGTCAGTATTTACTCTTTTACTCTGGAACTGGTTATTTTTTAAAGGTAGCTTATTTTTCCATTGGTCTATATATCTGTTTTGGTACCAGTACCATGGTGTTTTGATTTCTGTAGCCTTGTAATATAATTTGAAGCCAGGTAGCATGGTGCCACCAGCTTTGTTCTTTTTGCTTAGGATTATCTTGGCTATGTGGGTTCTTTTTTGATTCCATATGAAATTTAAAGTAGTTTTTTCCAGTTCTGTGAAGAAAGTCAATGGTAGTTTGATGGGGATAGTATTGAATCTATAAATTACTTTGGGCAGTATGGCCATTTTCATGATATTGATTCTTCCTAATCATGAACATGGAATGTTTTTCCATTTGTTTGTGCCCTCACTTATTTCCTTGAGCAGTGGTTTGCAGTTGTCCTTGAAGAGGTCCTTCATATCCCTTGTAAGTTGTACTCTTAGGTACTTAGGTATTCTCTTTGTAGCAATTGTGAATGCGAGCTCACTCATGATTTGGCTCTCGGTGTTATTGGTATATAGGAATGATTGTGATTTTTGTATCCTGAGACTTTCCTGAAGTTGCTTATCAGCTTAAGGAGATTTTGGGCTGTTGAGACAATGGGGTATTCTAAATATACAATCATGTCATCTGCAAATAGAGACAATTTCACTTTCTCTTTTCCTAATTGAATACCCCTTATTTCTTTCTCTTGCTTGATTGCCCTGGCCAGAACTTCCAATGATGTTGGGAAAACTGGCTAGCCATATGCAGAAAGCTGAAACTGGATCTCTTCCTTATACCTTTTAAAAAAATTAACTCAATATGGATTAAAGACTTAAATGTAAGACCTAAAACCATCAAAACCCTAGAAGAAAACCTAGGCAATACCATTCAGGACATAGGCATGGGCAAAGACTTCATGAAGAAAACACCAAAAGCAATGGCAACAGAAGCCAAAATAGACAGATGGGATCTAATTAAAATAAAGAACTGCACAGCAAAAGAAACTATCATTAGAACAGGCAAGCTACAGAATGGGAGAAAATTTTTGCAATCTGTCCATCCGACAAAAGGCTAATAATCTACAAAGAAACACATTTACAAGAAAAAAAAAAAACATCAAAAAGTGGGTGAAGGATATGAACAGTCACTTCTGAAAAGGAGACATTAATGCTGCCAACAAATATATGAAAAAAAGCTCATCATCACTGATCATTAGAGAAATGCAAATCAAAACTATGAGATACCATATCATGCCACTTAGAATGGTGATCATTAAAAAGTCAGGAGACACCAAATGCCAGAGAGAATGTGGAGAAATAGGAACACTTTTATACTTTTGGTGAGAGTGTAAATTATTCAACCATTGTGGAAGACAGTGTGGTGATTCCTCAAGGATCTAGAACCAGAAATACCTTTTGACCCAGCAATCCCATTACTGGGTATATACCCAAAGGAGTATAAATCATTCTGCTATAAAGACGTATGCACACATATGTTTACTGTTCACAATAGCAAAGACTTGGAACCAACCCAAATGCCCATCAGTGATAGACTGGATAAAGAAAATGTGGCACCTATACACCATGTAATACAATGCAGTCATAAAAAAGGATGAGTTCATGTCCTTTGCAGAGACATGGATGAAGCTGGAAACCATCATTCTCAGGAAACTAACACAAGAATAGAAAACTAAACACTGCATGTTCTCATTCATAAGTGGGAGTTGAACAATGAGAACACCTGGACACAGGAGGGGAGCCTCACACACTGGGGCCTGTCGGGGCTGGGGGTCTAGGGGAGGGATAGTATTAGGAGAGATACCTAATGTAGATGTTGGGGTGATGGATGCAGCAAACCACCACGGCAGGTGTACATCTGTGTAACAAACCTGCTCATTTTGCACACGTACCCCAGAACTCAAAGTACAATTAAAAAATAAAAATAAAAAAAAAAAAGTAACTTACTCTTTTACTTTAATCAGATGAGGACTTCTTTAATTGTAGGATCTCTCTTGGGAACCTTATGATTAATTAGGAAAAAAGTTAATATCAATTTTTAAAGACATCATTTGATTTTGACCTGTTTTATTAAAATGAAACTACAAAAGTGTTTGGAGAACCTAGACTGTCAAAAGTTTGAACAGAGAAATGACTGCCTAGTTATTTGGAAGGTTATAATTTTTCCACCCCAATGATTAATGTGAACTTTCAGCAGTCTTTGTTTTTAGTAGCTTAGAATCAGCACAATATTAAAATGTACTTTTTCACTTTTCATTTTTAGCTGTATATATAGTCTTTAAAAATAAGAACTAATTGCTATATGCATATAGTGAGTTGTAAGTTTTAGAAAAATTGATGGCATAAAAAAGACAAAGGGGAGTATATAAAGAATATAATGGTGGTACTTTTTAATGCCCCTTGACTTTCAAAAGGATTTAAGCTGACTGGGTGATGAATGATGCCCCCACCCTTGTCCATTTTCTGAGCTTTTAAAATACTTCTGTGTTAAAAACATAATTTTAAAAAAAGTGATTGATTTGGGTTGAAAAATCAAACGTAGACTCTTGTTTTGTTTCACCAGCAATGTGAATTTTTAAAAATAGTAATTGCTTCAAATTGGTCTTTTCAAAATTAGGTATTCTTTATCAGCTATTTTATATAGTCATAGTCAGTAGCTGTATACATACATGCTCAAACTGATACATAATTATTTTTACTTTACAGGACCCATCTAGAACAGTTTCAGGCAGATATAAAAGGTAAGAATCCTTATGACTTAAACACATTATAGACATGATTGTAACGTCTGTCTGACATTGACTTAACTAGAACTGTTTAAAGTAGCTTATTGAAAAGTAAGAAACCTTATTATTGTGCTCTTAAAAATACATTACATTGTAAGCAGGAGTATAATGTCTGCCTGACCATGGCTTATTCTGACATGCCAACAGTCTTTGAAAACTGACCATGAATTTGCAAGGGTCTGATGAAATTTGCAAAATAAATGCCTAGAATTGCTATTTCTCATATATTTGAACATTGGAAATACAAGTAGACCCATCAGTATTAGGTAGCTTGGAGTGCTATAACAAAATACCATAGACTGGTGGCTTAAGCAACAGAAATTAATTTTCTCACATTTCTGGAGGCCGTATGTCCACCATTGTCAGGTTCTGGTGAGGACTGTCTTCCTGCCTTGCAGGTAGCCACTTTTTCACTGTGTCCTCAGAGAGAAAGAGGGACGAAGAAGGAAAGTAAGCTTTCTGAGGTCCCTTCTTTATAAAGGAACTAATCACATCATGAAGCCCTCATCCTTGTGACCTCATTTAAACCCAATTATCTCCCAAAGGCTCCACCTTTAAATACCATCTCACTGAGGATATGACTTCAACATATGAATTTTGGGAGGACATAGTTCAATCCATTGCACCACCTGTACACAATGAGTAACACTTCTACCAGAGAATGTGTTTGTCTTGTATAGGAAGAAATTCAGAATTGGGTGCGAGAAGTTTTTCAGTGGAGGTGTCTAGGATATTAACTTCCTTCTTCCCCCTTGAGGCCATAAAGGTTGCAGAAGCATATGGTCATACTTGTGTTAATAATCGTAGAATGATAAATCTTACTAAATATTTACTGTGTCTAAAGTGCTTTACATAGAGTTCTTTCAATTCTCATGATTATCTTAAAAGACAGATATAATATTTATTTCCGTTTTATAGATGAGAGACATGAGATTAAATAAGTAGAATAATTTTTCTGGGGTTATAAACCTAGTCAACAGTAAAATCTGGATTTGAACTCAGGCAGCCTTACTCTGGCACCCACATTTTTATTAACTGTGTAAGACCATCTGCCTAGATTTATACATATAAACCGCTTATTTTCATCTATTTGTGTTTGTATGTTGAAATTTAAAATATTTTAGCTGTTTAATCTACAATAAAACACTAACCAATACTCTAATTTTTATGCTGTTATGTAAAAATAAAATTTAATTTTTGTCAAGGGCTCCAGTATTTATTAGCCATAGAAAGAGATGAGAAGTCCAAGATAATCAACAACAGTGATTAAATCTGAAATAGTTTCTGGCACATGGAAAAACACTCAATACATTTGCTACTGTTACTACTTTTATTTTCATTTCTGGGTAATTTTGATGTAGGTATAATGAAACCTGTTTTTTTTTTTTTTTTTAACATGTGTACATTGCCTGATAATTTTACTTACCATTAATAGTTTAAGCTGGAAAAAATCCTTTTTCTTTTTCCAGAAATAATTATGAAATAGCCATGATGTGGCCTGTTCCTAAACCACATTCTCAAACCAAAAAACTTTTAGCAAACCAAGTTTTTGGTTTGGAGACTAAAGATAACCTGTGGCAACTTACCAGGTTGGTTGTATGGATCGTACACATTTAGTTCTTACTAAATAATAATCTTAAATTATGAATGACACTTTTCAAATTGTGTTCTCAGAATCAAGAGGGGAATAATTTTATAAATCCTATCAAAAGCTTTATTTACATTTCATTGTGTTAAATCAGAAAGAAAATTATTCTTTTGGTACAAATTTTTGTGAAACTTTTGAGACCATTACTTGTGACATTTCCATGAATTTGTACTTTTCATACTTGTATTTTCATAGCCTAGAGCATGTGGCCTGTTATTTTGAAAACTAGAGCAGTTTTCAAAGGTTTACCCCTGTTTAATAGTGATATAAATATCTTAAGGTTTCTCATCATTTTTTTATTGGTTTACACCTCCATTTTAATACCATCTAAAAAGAAAAAAAAGACACTAACAAAAACCTAAAATCTATATATGAAATTGTCTCTTAACTAGTAGAAATGTATTATGCTTTATATCAACAGTTCATTATTTTCATTATTCTGTCAGCAAGTTATAGCAGTGACTAGAGAACAGATGTTTCTTAGTGAGGGTGTCTGCCAACTAATGGGAATGAAGAAAAGAGAGACTAGGGTAAAAGAAACTTGGCATCATATGTTAGAAAATATTTTCAGTAAACCTAATAACATATATATACATAACTGAAAATAGAAAATATTTTCAGTAAACCAAATAACTTACGAGAAATTATATGTATATATATAGCTAGAAATAACTCTTAAAGTCATTAGAAGGTTCAGAAACCCAGATTTATTTGAATGTATGGTTTTATAATTTTTTTAACAGAATTTTTATTTGGAAAGTTTATGGTACATTGGTTAAAGACTTTTAAAAAAGAAAAGAGAAGGCAAGATAGCCTGAAGGACTTAAAAGGGCAGGATTAGCCAGGGTATGGGAACTTACTATCCATAAACAACAGGAGAGGTTGATGTAGTGGCTTGTGCCTATAATCCCAGCAACTCAGATGGCTAAGGGGGAAAGACTGCTTGAGGGCCAGGAATTTGAGACCAGCTTGATCAACACAGCAAGACTCCATCTCTTAAAAAAAAAAAATAGAAAGAAAAAGAAAAACATTAGTCGGGTGCTGTCGTAAGCACTTATAGTCTTAGCTACACTAGAGAGACTGAAATGTGAGATGGGAAGCTCACTTGAGCCCCTGAGTCTCCCATGATCATGCCACCTAACTCCAGCTTGGGAGATGGTGAGATCCCAACTCTAAATAAAATAAACAACAGGGGAAACAAGACAAATACTGTTTTAGCATTCAGTTAGTTCTTAACTGGCTTTTTTTCACAAATATGTTTAATTTAGTATTAATTATTTTATTAAGAAACATTTGCGCAAAGTAATATGTGGTTCTCAGCACTCCCCTCTTCCCCCCTCCAAGTAACCTTAATAGGTTTAGTAGTTTGTAAAGCACTTTCACATACATTATCCAATAGTTAGCCTCATCAGGCGGCAGCCAGGGCAGGCATGTCTTTGACAGATGAAGGAAAAGGCTTTGTTTAGTTTAGTGAACTCTTACCACATTCTCTCTGAACAGAAAGAGAGGAAATATTGTTAGTTTTTGTTTTTATAAAGAGCATGGACACATCAAGATATGAATGTCAGGAAAAATTAACCTTAGCCAAAATGTTGATGTTAAGCCTTATTTCATATCCGCAGTGTTTCACAGTATTATTATAGTTTTATAATTCATGTAGCTTCATCAGGACTTTTCTTAATACTTTTTGCAACTACTGCATATGATCAAGATAGAAACTTTATACAACTTAAACATTGTTTTCTCCATTTAAATAAAGTAATGCATACCCACTATCTAAGATTTAAGAAATACAGAAAGTTAGGATTAGAAATTCTCACCATACTCTAAGTCAAGCACTATTAGCATTGCTTTCACTTTTTCCATTTTTTTTTCCTAGGCTTTTTATATGTATAACTGTGAGAATAATGGATGTGCAGTGTCACATTCTGGCTTGCTCTTCACCTAATGTAACATGAGTATCTTCACCTTTTAAGTTCTCTAAATAATGGCTAGTATCAACTGAGTGATTTCTGCCTTTTAAATGAAATGTAGTATAAATATAACAGAAATCCTCACTATCACTGCTGTGGGGACCCATAATTTCTGTTTACTTTATTTGGATAAAACATGACTAAGATTCTTTTTCTTCAGGGTCAGAATTTTCTTGCAAAGTCAATTCTGCTATAATGCTTGTTTTAAAAATGCAAATTGGTCCTAATTCATACATTAGGGAACAATTTGACCCTAACTCAAATTTTGCCTTTGCTTATACACGATTTTGTTCACCATAAATGCTAGGGTAAATGCTGAAAACCTTACCCAGCTCAACCAAGCTACATAGGAATACACAAAATTCTTTCAGGCATACCTGGCAAACATCTACCAGATATCTCGGTATGAGTTACAGGTTTGCTTTTGAAGCAGGAAAGTTTCCCTGACCCCTTTGCGGGCAGGAATTGGAGTGCATGGGCACTGGACCTACCGGGCACTTTGGTGCGACAGGGGCAAATTCCACTCACTCAAATCCGCTGCATTCTTCCTCTCATGGGAGGGGGAGTGTAGGTGAGCAAATGCAAGAGCAGGGGTGAGCCTTTTGGATGCTGGCAGTAAGGAATTCTGTACTGTCCCTATGGCAGTATCTGGGGGGGATGCTCATTACCCCTGAAGTCCCAGAAGGAGTGTTACAGTCAGTGCTCTTTTACCTTTGCTGTCTATGGACAGTTTAAGTGTTAAACAGTTCAGTTGGTCCTCTGCCTTTTCATGTGAGGCAGTTGCTCTCTGCTAGCGATGGCAGAGCGTCAGTGTGACATTCTTTAGCATTTGCACTCATGGCACCTGAGGTCTTGTTCAGTGTCTAGGAAAAATCAGGTCACATGAATGAATTGAAGAGTGGTGAATATGGAGGATTATATTGGCAGTGAAAGGGGAGCTGTAAAGGGGATGGAGTGGGAAGATAATCTCTCCCTGGAGCAGCGCTGTCAAGCTGTTCCTCTGAAATCAAGCTGCTTCTCTTCCTCTTCCTCTCCTCACTCCTCTGGTGGAGCTAGGGGTTTTTACGGGCACAGGAAGGGGAGCAGGGCGGGCCATGGGTGGTTTTGGAAAAGGCAGTATTTGAGCAGGAAAACAGGAATGCATGTTCTCACTTTGGGCCATGGTTCAAGGGTTGAGGGTGGGACCCTTGCCGGGACTACCCTCTTTTGCCCGGAATTACCTTGCCTCCTGTCCCTGTCATTTCCACAGGTGATGTTACAACTTCAAGTCTAATTTCAGATATCTTCTTTCTCACACTTCATATTAACCCACAAGCTACAACTCTTCTGCTGCC